GGGGGGGGGGGGGGGGGGGGGGGCAGTAGCGGTGTTCATAGAGAGGTGCTGGGCAGCGACCCCCGACATCGAAAATATTGTGGGAACGACAACAGGCCAGAAACATGACGACAGTGAGCTCCGACGAGAATCAGAACAGCTACCAGACGGTAACAGCAACAAAGACAAGCATGAGAACAACGACATCCAACGACGGCAACATCAACGACGACGACAACCATCTAAAGAAACGGCGACACCCACAACAATATATTCGGCAACGCCTGCTAGTAGTTACAAACCTGAGCGAGAGCGTCTGACATGGTGTCCGTAACCCCCTCCGCATGCTGCCCCAGCAGCCTCAGGAGTCGCAGGATATGCACCTACCCTCGACGTACAGAAAGAGAGGGGAAACAGTCGCAACATTTTCCGAACAAAGCAAAACGAATTGCGCAAACTGATATCTGGTCTCTTCAGCAGGACATGTACTAACCTCCCGCGTCGTACTCACGCGAGCGAGTGAAAAAGGAGGGTGTCCGACACAAGCCGTCTATCGACAACATCCACGCAATAGCGCAGGACCCTAACCACCCAGCCAACACGCCCTCCGGCCCAGCGTGCATTCCGTGTACTAAAAACGTGCCCTGGCGCAAAACGCCACTTAGTCCTATCTGTCACACTGTCACATGCCCTTACCACACCATCCTCAACCCCCCCCCGTGCCCATACGCTGGTGTCTTTGATACTATGTCTCCACCTCCCCCAAGCTACAAAACTACGAACTCATGCGAGTCACAGTCATCTACGCTACTACAGGTACAATTCCAGGGTTTCATGAAAGCCACAAGCCTTATACTCCCACCTATTAACACCTCCTGCTATCCACAAGGTATGTACGCTACTACAGGAACAATTCCAGGCTTTCATCCAACGCCCCAAGCCATCTGCTCCACCAAACGCCTCCTGCTTTCCACAACTCGTCTCCTGCGCTCCACCTACACAAAACGCCTCCTCCCTCTTAACCTGCAAAAAGGGGTCCGAAACACCCGCCACGTCGTGCTCCGGAGCGTATCCCACCGAGAGAAGGTTCCTGAGCATCTTTACCAGCGAAGGAGCCACCGACGCAAACGCCGGGGCGTACTCCTGCGGAAGAGGGAACAACACCCAAGAAAAAAAAAAAAAGTTACCGTGCACCGCTGAACTGGAGCATGGCCATTCTTAACTGTCGAGACTTGAAATTATACTCGCCACGGAGCCCCTGGCATGCCGCGGAGCCCCCGGCTTCTACATTCAAATATTCTTCAGAGAAACTCCGCTGTCCACAGCAGGCTTCATCCTCAACACTCACTACCGCTGTAGGCATCCAGCACGTCGATTTGAACAGGGTAGATGTACTATCGCGAGTGGGTACTCGTTCTGTGTCTGCACATACTTTTTCAAGAAGCCCAGTCCCTTCTCTGCCTCAGAGCCCGCGCCGTTTCGTGAGCAGGCGGTAGTTTTTTTGCGTGTGCATGTGTGCATACATTTTCTGAGAAACCCAGAACTACTCTCCGACGTCAGAGCCCTTCTTTCGAGACAGCGGTGCCATGCGGTATTTTCATGTGTCTGTACACGCCACATTGTCAGCGACAGTCAGCCCAAATCTCTCTCTTATCTCAGAGTCCGTGCCGTTAAGCGGTGCTTTTCTCTGTATCGGAATGAATATCTTGTACTAATACCGTAAGAAGCTCAACCCCACTTCATCATAGGACTCGTGCCGTCTGTTTTGGAGACAGCGGTTGTTCGGTGTCTGTATGCATATTCTCTAAGAAGCTCAGCCCTTCTCCATCCCAGAGCCCTTCGAGACAGCGGTGGTTTTTCTGTATCTCCATGAACATTTTCTAAGGAGCTCAACTCCACCCTCTTTCATCTCAGAGCCCTTCCTGTCGAGAACAGCCATGGTGCCATGTGTCCACTCGACGCACCTTCGGGTCCGACTCCACCACGGCCGTGACTAGCTGCACGCCGGCGACCAGCACACCGTGATGCCTGTCCTTAAGAACCTCCATGATCCGCTCCATGAAGTCTTCCACGTGCTCCGGGAGGTGCCTCAGGATGCGGATGCAGCAAAGGGCGGCCTGAGGGGAATTAAGCAAGAAAAAGAAGCGTGGCGGCGGAAACGAAGCAACAGAGGGCAAGACGTTAAACGTGTGCAAGTGGACGCTGCGAGAGAGATCTCCCCGTCATGCCAACGGTCTTACAGGATGCGGATGCACCCGAAGAGCGACCCGGGGAAGAGCATTTTGTGCACGTCATAACAAAAAAGTCGATGATGAGGAGACAAGCCACATGAGAGAGCGAAAAAAAAAAAGCACGCCTACGCCTTAATGTGTGGACACAGGAGGAACGAGGGCCTAACCCCGTTGTCAGATCACGAGTGCTTAGGGCTGCGGATGCACCAACAGCCGGCCCCGGGAAGTTAGTCGGGAATACCCATACAAGCTGGTCTGGCAAAGACGCATGATGCTTGCGACCGGAGTTCCCATGCGATTTTTTCGCATCAGAACCTGAAATTTTGATACGCCATATCCTCGGAAAAAAACAACTGTCTTCAAAACTGCGCCATTTGATGTGATATGTTTTTTTCCATGAGTTAAGCTGATCCCAGTATCTATGGAAATGCTTGTTTTGCGAAAAAGTGATGTACACGCAAGGAGAAATCCAGAAGGCAACGGTGGCGACCGCAGTGACCAGTCCACGGAAAAATTCAAGAAAAATGTCCGTCCGGACGACCATGATCGTCCACCCGTGAAGGAATCACACGGCCCATCATCGTGTAACGAGTGCCAGCGTGCCCGCTAGTATACCCCTGCCGTTGGGTCTTCACCGAAACGTCGTAGCCCCCCTTTGCGGCGGCCGGCTGCCCCCGCCCTCCCCCCCCCCCACGCCGTACACAGGAGGCCCTCAAAGCCTCACTTTCCGAAGGACGAATCAAAGAACAAATCCACCCCATATTGCTTTTTCCACCGTGAAAACGCAAAGCCCACAAGGCTTTCTTCGCTGCTCACGAACGAGAACAAAAACGCCACCAAAATACCACCCACCCCACTCCTTGATCGACACAGCGTGGCCGCCAAGGGGTCGAGGGATGACAACACATTACTGGCCCGCAGTTACGGGGTATTTCGAAAAGAGCAGAAGCTGCAATTTCCACCAACAAGAAGAAAATGGTCAACGAAACATGCCTCAGCGGCGGATCCTACATTGAATTCTCTACGAGGGCCTGTGCTTGACAGTGGCAGAGAAACGAAAGACGAAGCCGCGACCCGACTGTATGACATTGTTTGTCTGCGGTCCCGTACTCTGTATGCATTTCACCTTCTTCACGAGGTATGGCCTTCCCCCCCTGAGGTGCTTCTCCACCTCCATCATCAAATCGCGGGCTATGTCCGGGGTCGCCAGGTTGCCGATGGTGGTGAGACTTAGGCCAGCCACGAACATGTTGCTGCTGTGCATGTCAACCTGCGAACGGGAAGGGGGGGG